AGATAAAGATAAAATTTAAGTAATAAAAATAATTAAATAAATAATTAATGTTTGATAGTTTAATTTATATCAAAACTAATTTTCAAGTCAACTAATCATCAAATTTAAAGATCTCAAATTTCTGTCTTGGATAAAAATATTAATTTTTTTAATAATAAAAGAGTATGATAATCACTAAAAATAAAAACTAAAATGATTAAAAAAATAACTTTTATATATTAATATAGATTTGATGCCTAATATAATATAATTATGATAGTACAAGTGCTATAGGAAAAACTCAACAACTAATAAGGCGTCGTTTGTTTGATTCCTCGAGCAACTAGTGCTTTAGGCTGATATCACCAATTTTTTTTTCCTAAACTTCTTTTCTTTAAGTATTTAAAACACAGGCAGAAAGAGGCAAAAGTTTTTGTTTACCTTTTGCTTTTGCTAATTATTTGAAATTTATAAAGTTTAAGTGTAGGTTTTTGAACTCAAATTATTCAATTTAAAGGAAAACAGCATTAAAAATGTAATTTATTATTAAATAATAATTTTTTCTATCTATCAAAATTATGGTTACAATACAAGATTCCATACTGTGAGGTTCTAGATTGATATAACATGATTTAGATATGTCATGGGCCCCTCTTATATGCTACTTATTCAAAAACATTGTCGTTCCCATCATGTCATATAATTTAAGTAAATCATAACATTGTCGTTCCCATCATGTCATATAATTTAATTGATTCTCTAAATCCAACTAAAAATAACATAAATAAAAAAAATGGTGTAATCCAACTCTTAATATCAGGGATCTTTTTGCCCCGTCACAAGGATATATATCCCAATAAAATTAATTGTTTTTTAACACCAATAAAATTAATTGTTATTCATTAAGATCTTGTAATGATACATGGCAATAATTTCATGACAACACACAAGTCACGTGGCCATTATTTTGGTGCGATATATGGAAAAATGGAGTGTGATTATAGTGCTTCGGTGGACCACAATTTACATAATCCATAATCAAAGTAGATTATATATCACTATAATAAAATAAATTTTTAGTGGTATTTCAATAATAAAGCAAAAAATTTTATCAACAATTTTACATTAACTATTGTATGTAATATCACTAAAATATTTATCAACAATTATTTTACATGTTGGTAAAGATCCTTATAATAGTCGAGAAAATGTATAAATTTTTGTGGCAATTTCAAAGAATCACGTGTGTTGTGATTTAAAAAATATACTAACTTTAAAAAACAATTTCAAAGAATGGACTGAAAAATTATTATTTTTTAAATTGAAAAATAATAAAAAAAAATTCATAAATAAAGCATAACATTATACATAATTCAAAAACAAATAATAGATACATATATAATTCACAGAATATGAATTGACTTTTATTTTTTCTCTTTTTCTCATATTAACTAATAATATTATTTTAAGGAAAGTGAGTATTTTTTAACAACTAGAAAGAATATGTGTTATTTAAACACACATCATGAGAGGTAAGTGAAATCTTTCCTATAAATGATGATGAACTTTTAATCTTTGTCCCTCTTTGTTGTTATGAAATTTCACTTGTCGTTGTATCGTTTAACATTATAATTAATGATTTCACTTCAAGCCAGTGAAACAAAGAAAAGATTTTATCTCTTAGTTGAGACTACCTTAAAGAGTTTCTTAACGATTTCTTTTTTGTCCATAAACATGTTCTTTACTTCCTAACAACTTACTAACTAGTTAAAGGCATAATTTAAATGTTAAATATAACATCTAAAAGCGATAAATGGCTAAATGTAGGTCATGAAACAGTAAATCAAAGCTTTAAACAAGAAAGCTGATAAAAAAATTGTAAATGACTGAAAATAAGATAAATTCATTAATTTTGGTCATGAACCACAAATGTAACTTGAATTTTCCTACGTATACCAGTCCATGATCTAGCCATATAAAACTACCCACTACTCCCTTCTTTAAGAACCATAATCATATACACTTAGAAACTACCATCCCTTCATTATAATAACTCTTAGGGTTCCTTAAAAATGTCTTGCTTCTATACTGGGCCACTATAATCACTCACACTAAGAACCATGCTACAAGACAATTGTAAGTGTGATTTAACCATTAGCCATATATATGAATTAGGCTATAGCCGGGATATAGTTGATGCCATTATCAGATACCCGTCAACAATACGAGACACCATATAGTTATCTAGTGTAAATTTGCTTTACATTTTTCGTGCTATTACTATTTTTTTTATTTAAAAATACAATGGAATTTTTAGCACCAAATTAAATGAGCCAGCGAAATTTATTCATACTTTTTAAGTTGAAATTCAACTTTTGCTGGCATTTGGATGGCTAGTTCATGTCTGCGTGTCATGCAAATTCAAATTCACATTGTAAATCCACTTCACTTATTACGGTTTAAGTGTCAGTTTGGCTAATATAAACAATCAATTTCTCTCATCATGCCATACATTTCAATAATGTAAGATTTAAGACTAAATTAAATTAATTATATATCGGGCCAATATTTAATAATTTTAATTAGGAGAATGCTAATATACTCTCAACTATTTTTTAGTGAGAGTATGTTAGTAACTTACACCAAAATTTTAGGACAAAAAAATCACTCATTTCTTTTGATTTGATTAATTTGTATAAAGGATATTATAGTAATTTAATTTAATTTTTAGGAGAATGCTAATATACTCTCAACTATTTTTTAGTGAGAGTATGTTAGTAACTTACACCAAAATTTTAGGACAAAAAAATCACTCATTTCTTTTGATTTGATTAATTTGTATAAAGGATATTATAGTAATTTAATTTAATTTTAAATAAAAATTAAATATTTTCTCTCTCTTATTAATTTATTTCATTAAGTCATTCCTCTCGCTTATTAAATTCCTTCTTCAACCCATTCATCTTTCCTATTAAATTCTTGGCTAAAAACCTATTTTAGTTCCTTATAATAATTGTTTGTTTCAATTTAGTCTCACTTTTATTTTTTGTCTCAATTTGGTACCTAATAAATTAATTAGTTTCAATTAAGGACTTCCGTTTAAATTATTTAAACGGAGTTAACTGTTTGTCACGTGGATGCCATATAGATGTACAGATGGATGTCACGTGGATGCCGATTTTTTGAAAACACCTGGAACCAGAACGGCCCGTTCTGAAACCAGAACGGGCCATTCTGGGTGCACTCTTGGTATGTTAATTTTGAATCTGGAACGGCCCGTTCTAGGTGCAAAATTAACACACCAAGAATGCAACCAAAACGGGCCGTTCTGGTTTCAGAACGGGCCGTTCTGGTTCCAGGCAAGATCGG